TTCTTGTGCGAGAAGTTCGTGTTTGACAGGAACAATCCGTGGTCAGCGCACAGTTGAAGTAGACGATCTCCATTGTCCATCCGATTGGCTAGAATTGCATGTGGTCTACCAAGAAGCCTTTCTGATTCGTCCAGGAATCCCACTTGAGCATTGAAGTCTCCGGGAATTGCCACGATATCCGATGATCAAACGCTTTGGAGTAATCGAGAAAGGTCCCTGTAGAATTATTCTTTGATTTCTGGTGTATTGCAATCGGTCGGTGCATAAACCGATACGACGAATAAACATCGCTGCTTCTTTCTGTAGTTGTTGACGAATAAGCACCGACGCCTTGTTTTATAGCTGTTGACCCGTGCTGAGCCGTTGTTACGTACAGCGCACAATCGGCTGCTGACTGGAATCCAGTCAAGAAGCGAGCGCTCAACCTTAACACTTAGTGCAATCCCAACACGAGCAACATTGCGAGCTTCGCATCCCGAATCGCCTGAAACATGATAGGTGAAGCATGAGGTTGAGGTTGGATAAAGAGAACGCAAGGAGATATTGGAGGTAGGGTCTTGTATGTGTGTTTCGGAGACACAGCATACATCTAAATTGAAAGTTTCAAGGGTTCCGGCTAAGGCAGCTGGTTGACCGATCTCTTGGGGTGTGCGGACATTGAACATTGAAAAGGGAATTTCGACTTCAAAAATCCTGTAACTTCTGATTGTTTGGACTTGTTGGCAAAACGCTGAGTGATAACCAATGGGTCCGTAAACAGTAGGCGTTTGGGATTATTCGGGATTGAGAGGAAGAACTAGACAGATGGGAAGGAGGGTTTTCCAAATGGGTGCCTAATACTTTAGGGCTTGGCATACTTCGCGGTAGCCCACACCGACGAAGGGGTTTTTCTTTGGGAACCCTAACCGGAGCCTTTGACTCAAACGTCTGACTCGCAAGGCACCGGGAATTTGTGGGTTTTTCTTTGAAAACCCTAGCCGGAGCCTTTGACTCAAAAGTTTAACCCACAAGACAGTGGGGCGTAAATCCAACACGGGAGTGTGAACGAAGCACCCGTATGGGAGTTTCCGGAAACCTATCACGCAAGGCCTTCGGATCCTGGTTAAGTTTGTTGTTCGCTGGTGCGTTGATTATCAGTCCGCTTTTCGGGATCGGCCCTTAGTCTCATGCACCCAATGAGCCAAGCGGAACGTGGACGGGACAGCACCTTATTGGCTGGGGCTGCCCAGCTTGGGCGGGCAGTAGCTGTCCAATGAAGTGCGAGAACGTCTCCCATTGAGAGGGGTAGTGACCCGGTGACCCTCTTAGTTAATCTTCGATGTGTAACTCATTTAAAAAGCAATCCGTGGATCATTGAAGGAATTTTAACAAATAAAATAAAATGACTATGTTCCATTTGTCACGCAACCTCGTCTCACCAACGGCTTTCACAATAGACTACGGAGAGAATTTCAACGCAACTCGTTCAATAAATTCCTGGTTCGAAGTTCAAGTTCGTTTATCGATTTAAATGTGAGATGCAGATGAGAACAATGCATTTATTCCACCGGATATCGTGATTAACTTCTATCCGGGTGACTGGCAATAAAAGCATATTTGTTGATCATAACCACAGAGCAAAAAAATTGTCAAACCACAAAGTCTTAAGAATGGATAGTGTCGCCATCTGAAATTGTTGGCTGAAATTCCATCTGGTCCTCGATCAAAGTCAGTGCGTAAAATGGTACGACAAATAATCCTGGTGACCACATAGATACACTATTCTGATATAGAAGTCAGCGACATAAGTTCGGATATATGGAATGCACAACCACACAAAATTGTCCAAGTTAGAACTGCTGAACATCAGCGATAAACATTTTGATCCCCTGATGCGTCCTGGTCATTGCTTATTCCTAATTTAGCTAAAAAGTGAAGCAACGGTACTGAGAAACAAGCCCTAACGACCAACGAATAAAATTATGATAAAACATTTGTCCTGATGTGGCTACAACCATATTCGAAAATAAGCATCACATTGTGACAGGGATAAAACCAATATACATACCCGGGGATCTAATAATTATTCCACCTATGAGCACGTGCATCCATATCTCAAAAAAGAACATTGCTTTGGGAAACTAGAAAAGCAGGCCGCAATCAAAGCAAAAATGATAAAATACAGAATACTGAGGCGCAGATGATTGCTTCAATCGATTTTAAAGTATTCAATACGATCGAAGTGACAAAAATTAAATGTGAGAGAAACAAACAAAGTTTAGTGTCAGTGACGGTGATGAAGATGAGGAGGATGAGGATGGTTCAACCATATCGAAGATCCGGTACAATCAGTTTGCAATTTCTGAGTTAAAGGATGAACCGATAAACTTTTCAATTCAAGATGCCCTGATATCAACTCAGGATATTCTGTTGCACTCATGCATCGTCCCAATTTATTTGCAACTTCAGTCTNTCTTCATGAATTCCATATTTGCACTCTGACACTGACTTGAACATTGCAATCTTACCTTTGCTCCTTCATTCAAATGGGCAGTCAGCAACTAAAACCGGTGAATGAAGGTGCATGGTTGTAAAAACTGAACTGACTTGTCCAACAGAATCGTTCACACACACCCCACCCCCAACCCCGCCGCGGTAGTGTGTACCCTAAGTCAGTCGGTCATATACATTCATATCTATCCTATAAGCTATGTCGTGGAGATTGTGGCACGACCGTTCTCGTTACTAAGTTGTTTGATTACTTCTCATGCAACTGCCCGTGTATAGTCCACAACCGGGACGGAAACATCCTCGCGTTTTGCCAATGGGACTATTTGGTGATTCTGAGACTCGTCGCTGTACTACGCAAGACACTGCAGTAGGACATTGTAAATTGTAAACGGTATGGAACAACGAGAGCTCAAGCGATGAAACCGAAGCATATTCCTTTTTGATGACCGCTGTATTCCTAGCTCCTGTAGATAGTCAACGTCTTATTCTCTATCTTTGGCTCCGCTACAAAGATGCTTTCACACTAAAAGTGGTTGCGAAATCCCATTTTCACGCTACCGTTACCAGGCATGCAGTAAGCCAAGTCCATTTAAGAAACATCTACATAACACAGTGGTTATGGAAGCACGTGTTGACAAACACTCACAAATTCAGAACACCTGTGAAGATTACCATAGTAACATTTGAGAAAAAACGCGAAATAGCGAACAAGCTCGTTTTATTTATCTTTCTCATCCGGCTAATAGTTATATAAATAGGTAAGAGGCACATCACATTTGCATAACGTTTGGTGTGTCCCTATTCCCATCCACCCACCACTGCATTTTTGTTTGTAAACCACACAGAAAACTAATTATATCTACCAATTCAATCCGCACACACATCAAACGTTATGCAAATTTGATATGTCCCTTACATATTTATATAACTGTATTAGCCAGAAGAGGAAGTTATCGAAAACGAGCTTGTTCGTTATTTCGCCTTTTTTTTCTCAAACCTGTGTATTACACGAACCGCCTAAATTGGGTGGTCATAGGGTCACGTGATGTTGGCTGGGGTCCAAGAGATGAGGAATGTTGTCGGTTCAAGATGATGAGATGTGTGAAGGAATAGGCATCAGTGATCTGAATGCAGCACGACTTCTACCAAATTCCCGGGAAAAATCTAAAACAAATTAATAGTCAAATCACATACTAAAGACATTTTTAAGTTCTCTCAACCATGTACTGATGTTGTTATGTCCACGCTCGTTCCGCAACACAACACCGCATTGCATTTAATCTCCCTTCTTTCATTCCCACCAGTAGTACTATTCCAGTAAACCGCACAGTGTGATGGACAAAAGTCACAACGGCATACTGTTCTATAATCGAAGCCAGCAACCACTACTTGGGGTGACAAACCGCATAGGCCTCCAACAGGATAGACACGATAATGAACCGGATGAAAGATAATAAACTTTCCAACTCTTATGAACGTGTTTTAGACGAACCCGTTCATCTGAGCAGAACGCAAATGACCGTCTAAGCTTTTGTTCTGGGTAACTCTGATCGAAGGTTTCAACATTCGTTGGTAAAATGCTAGCAACCAGAAAACTTACCCAAATTCAATCTGTACCTCGACAGCTTGATTCATTCCGATTTAATCAAACGGAATAGAATGACAGCTCACTGAGGAATAGTTAGTGGAAGGCACTTACTAACATCAGTACCCTTGGCACTAAAGTACCACCAGCTCCCAGTTTATGAAAGACACGTTGACGTAACGAGCTTGCAATCACACTCAATGGTTGAATCAGGGATTGCAAGAGACCGAAGCTATGACAGTTATCAATCATCGAACTGAGTCCGCTCACATTAACGTGAAGCTTTCGATTCCTCTCCATACGTTCAAAGGAAAGTTATTCGAAGAATTTTGCGAAACGCGGTTTCGGTGCGTCTCTACAATTTGTGGACCGTTGTGGGAAATTAGTGTTGATTGCAATTACTATGGTTGATCGGTTCCGTGATAGATTGGCACGTTAACTTTCTGCTTTCGTGCGAGACGGAGGAACGTTCGACTGGAAACACGACGACGGTGTAGTGACAGGCCTCCGCGAAGGACGAAATTCGCCGTATATACTTATCGAGAGAACAAGGGTTAACCAACGAACTTCTCCGGTGCTTTATCAACTGGACCTATACAGTACATATAGCAGTTGCCCGAACACAAGAAGAGAATGACGCTATAATTTTGATGAGATGTGCATGGTGCTTGACTGTGTGAGAGGCAGGTGACAAGAGAATGGCTGTTATTGTACCGCTTGTCCAAGAAGACAAATTCATCACAAATGACAATTCCTTTATAAGATTGGAGTTTCAAAAATCGGTCCATAGAAGTAACTGTAGGAAAGACAAAGTAATTCATAGAACGGGAAAAATTATGATAATACAGTTGATATATCCGATCATGATGCACCAGACAGTTGGACTAAATGAAAAAAGTGGAGTGAAATCCGAGGTGAAACTTACTGAAGGAGCGGCCAATAGTAACATGATCGAACACGTGACCGAACGTCGCCAAATAATACGACCATCTGATTCTGCATTCTGTAAAAAAAGAAAGGGCAGTCTTCGACTCATTGTTTGGGGGCCATAGTCGAGTTATCAAATTATCTTTATCTATCTGAATGAGCATCCTCATAGAATGAACGATTGTCCGATTTACAGAAATAATCTAGCAATACGTGGAAAGAATAGCTGTACTAAGGTGATCAAACTAATAATTTGAAACAGTGGCCTAAGATTCAACTTAAGCAGAGCGAATAACCAGGCACTCAAAAATGTTTCTAATTCTCAAGTCGAGTCGAGTCAAGTTAAGCTTTTTGCACCCAATTTTCAGCACTCTCGACAAGTTGTAGTGAAGAAAACGTTAAGCACTGAAAAAATAAATTATACATTTAATAAAAAAAACAAATGGATGTAATAAAATCATAATGTGACGGGTGATTTCCCAAGTCAGTAATGATATTTGCTCGATTCACCAAGATAAAAGCAAAGTGTGGGATGATGCTGTTTTTGTATGTAGTGCGTGCACAAAGAATCCTCAATTTGGAACGCGCACTCGGATGAGACACCGATTTATTGAGATGGGCGTGCGGGTAGTGCTCTTCCTTTGACAGTATATGGCCGATAAATCTATCACACTAATCATAATATTTAATCACAATGAAATCAACCAAAACGGTCTTTGAAATGCTACTGTAACAGGGAAAGAAGTTTAAGCGATCTGGAAAATAGAATAAAGTGTTTCTCCTTTATACTGGGAAAAATACCGGGGAAAGTACAACCAGTGTGGAAGAAAACTGGCGGTCACAAATTTAAGTTACATTTAGGAGAACGCCGAGCTTTTTAGGCCTAAAAGCATAGAAGGATAGTCTACGAACCCTAATGTAAATATTTTCAACATTTTTGGACCAATAAAGGTTATGCGACGAAGTAACTCCAAAATGACAGAGTTAGCTTTGGGTATATTACAATGAACAGCAAGTTCAGGCTGGTTGGTAATGAGTGCCTGTTTAAAGACTAAAGGGAACATCTAAACATTTATCGACATTGAGCATCAAAAATCGGGGCTTAGACCAACCAAACGTTTGATTTAGACTATCTTGAAATTGGCGGAAACAGTCAGGATTAGTAGAGGGAAAATCAACCGCTACATCATCAGCATACTTGCACGCGATAACGTTTGGAGGGATAGGAAGGTCAATAACGCACAGTGAAAAATAGAAATGGAGTCAAAATAGCACCCTGAAAAACCCCAGAATTAACTTCTAGCAGGGAAGAAGATTTACCGTTAGCAAAAGTGAACTTCTTAGTACATTCAACACATCAGGTGCCAGATTACAATCCGAAAGAAGTTGAATGAGAATGTCGTGACCAAGTGATTCGAAAGCACTGGCATAATCAAGAACAATTAAACGGATCATGCCAGACCCCTTATTCAATAGGGATGAAACGGATTGAACAACGTGAGCAACAGCATCTAGAGTGGAAAGCGAAGGCTTATAAGAAAATTGAATAGGGTCATGAGCAACACATAAAACGGTCATCCGGTTAAGAAGCACTCTTCGAAAACTTTCAATAGTGCTGATGTGCAAGCAATCGGTCGGTATTTAGAAGATCCTTTTGGGTGGAATCGGTGTTATCCGGGCAGCTCTTCAACAATTGGGGAAACTTCCAGATGACCTACACAAACTGAACATATCGGAAATAAGTGAAGCTAATTGTTCAACACACTCCTTCAACACGGTGAGCAATGAATCAGGGCCGTGTGTCGTGATAGATTTAAGGGACTCCAGTACCTGCAAAACTTCCACCGGGGCGATAGATTGGTTCTCCAAGTAGATGCGAATGAAGGTGGTGTTGAGTTTAGTACAAAAACGTTTGCGAGTTGACGGTTAAACACCTCAACATCCCAGAAAGCTATTGCGTGATCCACAGAGTCCCCTCAAGGCAGCCTACACATCGTGGCAGTTCTTGTTACCCACAAGAAGCTTATAAAACATATTCATTTCGGTTTCACTTTATACAACCGTTAGTCACACTTTTGTGCGCCAGGTTTTGGTTGCTGTTTTTTGGATGACGAGGAGAAAACGGATGGTTTCAGTCAACTAAGGGTGCAAACAAATTGGGACGATAATTCAGGGGGGCCGGATGATACAGATTTCCTGGTATTATTAACCAATTCCATGAGCCTTTCAACCTTTTGAAGATCCAATCAAGTTACAAATAAAGATGGGCAGCCCAGGTAAAGCCGCAGTCAACATTTTGCTACTTCAAAATGCAAGATCACGTTAGAGGATGAAATCAGCTCCGCCACAAATCAAACGCTAAGACGAAATAGCCAATAAGCAAGCATTACTGCTAAAGCTATATGCAACTTGAATGGTGCACACTGCATGGCTATCATCGTGAATATAGAAACCACAATCAACCTTCATCAAACTGGATCACCCGTAGCGTCGGTGTCATCAAATTATCCGTTTGAGGGCGAGTGTGTTGCGATGATTCAGGTCAACTCTACTCTGCGGTTCTGAAATGAGGACAACGCAGAGAAATGGCAAAGATAGGTGTTTAAGCACAGATAGCTTAGCACCATTGTATGCTTCCGGTGACAACCATCAAATCGATAATCCTGAGTCTATCGTTCTCAATTACACGCCTTAGCATAATGCAGCGTACAGTTACGCGAATACACAGTTCACAGTTAGAAGCGTTCAGTTCAGTTTTACAACCATTACCTATGCACTTTCATGCGACGGGTTGGGTTGCTGTCTTCTGGCCGCCCACTTCGATAAAACAGCAAAATGAAGATTAGAATTTTGAGTGCAGAGTTAAAGGGAAGATAGAGAATTCATATACACTGCGGTGGCAAGAATAGTGAGTAGATGTACGAGCACTACTGCTTGCGACACTGAGTCATATCGCTTAGCGTCTCTAACCAGTGGTTGCCATGATCTCGGGGTCCCCATCCAGGAAGCCTAACGGGACCTATGTGACCCATTGTCCTGGTTAGGTTTTTCATACCTTAATGCCAGGTCTTAGTTTGACCACCTTTGACCTTTTTCAACTCGCTGCCTACCTACATCGCGCGTCGTGGCAACCTATTTGATGACATGAGCAACACATGACCCAACCACCACTTGTTTCAGTGGACGACCGCGATTAACTAAAACTCTGCACCTCACCGCAACATTGCCTGTCCGGTTTCCCACCACAGCCATGCAAAGCGGTATAGAGAGCGGTCTTCGGACATTGACAATCTATTTTTATCTCTCTCTGATGGCCAAGTCGCTGATAGATGAGAAAGAGGGTTTTTCAAATGGGTACCTGACTTGGGGGCACGATATACTGCGTGGTAGTCCAAACAGACAAAGGGGTTTTACTTGAGGAACCCTAATCGGAGGCTTCGACTAAAAATTCTGACGCAGGAGCGTAATCGAAGCACCCGTGTGGGAGCTTCTAGAGAACTGTCACGCAGGGTCTTTGGGTATCGGAACAGTGTGTTGTTTTTTGGTGGACTGATTGTCGTTTCACTGTTCGGGATTGGCTTCTAGTCACACTCACCCAACGAGATAAGTGGAACAAGTGGGACAACACCTATTGGTTGGGGTCTGCCCAGCTTAGGCGGGCGTTAGCTGTCCAATGAAGTGCGAATACTTCTTTCACCGTCGGGAGGAAGTTCAAGGTACCTTGCTCCTGCAACAATCTAGTGGGTTTTTTGACCGATGAACTGCTCCTCGCCATGTTTAGTTGTTGGAGTAGCCTTTCTAGGTACGGAAGTGTATAGTCAAAGAAAGCCAGATGTTGGAGCAGCTGACCTCGTGGGACAGCTTTGTTTAGCCTCTACCCATTGAACCTTCAGGATGTGAAAATTCAACCTGCATGGCTCGCAAGGTTATTCAGCTACTACATAATCACTCTTCTGAAGCGGAAATGGCAAGGTAGAAACAAAAAGACTGATGATAAACGACACACAAAATAAATAAGCAAATTCAACAAAGTTTGAGTTTAAAACTTTCAATGACAAGAGCGGCGCTGGTAGGAAACCGTGCAAGGTATCGTATTACAGAAGATATATATGTGTTGTGGTGCATGATACTATATGCTTATACTTGGAGCGAGTGATAGAGATACATTTACTAAGATGAGAGTACACTGAGTGAGATGGATCTGGCAGTATTCCGACAGAAAAGTTTCTAGCAAGCCTTAAAGTGCTATGAAATTATAAACTGTACAATATATTCGCGAGATAAACCAGTGTACCGACATACGTGTTTTATGGATGCACGTATGAGTTTGAATTATTTGATGAGAGGACCGGGAAAAATAACCGAGGATGCATAAAGCCAGTGGGGAACGATACAAGAGAAGAAAATACATTTTATTAAGAGGGTTGTGGTAAGAAGCATTTTCAAAAGGATAACGTAAAATGTGAGTTTCATGACTCTGTAAAATATACCGGAGATATGAAAAGATCAAGAAAGGTTACGGGGAATAGTGATTACGAGATATTTAATGGAGCACTCTCTGGAAACTTGTTTCCCATTGACAATGACTTGTTGGCAAGGGTTGATTATATCAATGCATTTGTCACCCTTTAGCAGAAAAATAAGACATCCTTTTTTAGAGTAGCAAGCTTGGATTAGCCCATTCGATTGTTAAGAGGCATCAGGCACTTGTGATGTTCTTATGTAACAAATTTTTTTTTGAAAGTTCCAAACCAACAAACGTGCAAGCAATTGGGTGAAATTTAGACGTTCCCGTGTTGGGAACTGACATGATAGGAGCCACTCTCCAGCAGACAGGGATGCAATGCTGAGCAAAGCACATGTGGAGCAGGTCGGTCAAGCAGGAGAGAGTGCACATTCTTTAAGCACCACGTGTGGCAGTTCATCAAGATCACATACCTTATTAAACTACAGACTGACGAAAGTTTTGAAAACTTCCTTTTGGTCCATAATGGAAACATCAACATTAAGGAGAGGGACGACTGTGATGCGTGAAACAGAGAAGGCGGGTAAAGCATTACTGAAATGGCGATTAAG